GTCCCACTTTTGCAGACTTCACCCTACTTCTTTCCTTTTAGGTACCAAAGGAAATGGTAGGAAGAGGAAAAAATATTTTGTAATTAGTGATCTCAAAACCTTGCTATTACATTTAACACCAAAAAAATTATAATTGTCAATATAAAAAGCAATGTAGGTATTACAGAAGAATATTGTAATATACCTTTAATCAAATTCCGCAAAGCTACAGTGTGTGTGTGTGTGTAGGCTACTTGACAGCTTTTCTCCTCTATGCTTTTCTCCCGTTATTTTCAGTGCTGTGGGTTTGCAATGCATGCTGGTAAATGTAGTCACCAGAAGCGTCAAAAATGGTGGATGTTCAGCCTCCGCCTTTCCGAACCCTGGACGATTTTCTGCTGGGTTCGGCCCGATTCTCGGTGCCTGATGTCCGTAACTTAGATCGGTGGAACAACCGGATCATTAACAACCTGCTGTATTACCAGTCCAACTATTTTGCCTCCGCCGTGGCATTTCTGCTTATAGTCGGGTAAGGAAACACCACTGACGTTTTCGTTCATTCAGACCTATTCACTGCTCCTCTGTTACCCAAACGAGTAACAACATTTGTGTTGTGTTCTGTATCGAATTGTGGTTATTTAAAATGTAAAAAATATCGAATTGTGGTTATTTAAATAGCCTCACAAACAATTATTTTATAATATGACTTAAATGGAAAAAATGGTTAAGCAGTTGTTGCATTAGAACATTTATGTATCTGTTTTGACTTTCAGTTTTAAGTGATAATGTAGTGTGTTTTAATGGCTTTGATAGGTATTTAAAAGACGTTGTTATCTCCCACTACCTGTACAGTTATGAAGCAGTAATCAAACAACCCTCTCATACCCATCCCATGTAAAGATAATATAAAAAATATATATATAAAAATGGTCAAGAATCATCACAAGAAATTGAATAAAATGTACAATAAACAACATATTTACAGTAAATAAAAACATATAAATATATATGGATATACAGAAAAAGTTATAAAGTTGTAAGATTATAGGTTAAAGTTTTACTACATGAGACTAAAAATGAAATAAAAATTAATAAAAATTTCATAGACAATTTAAGACAACAAAATGATTAAACATTTAATGAAAATATAATACAAGATCACAATATTAATAAAAGCTATATATAGAATTGTTTTATTCTTTGTATATGTTGTTTTTAATTATTGTAAGTACTCTTAGGTAAGGGTTATTCTTTCTTATGATGATGCTGATTATCATGTTTTTATTTATTTTATATCTATTTTTCTTTTGTGCATCATGTTATTGTAACAGGTATTTCCAACCACTCCAGTTGATTCTTGGGGCAACCGTTGTGATCCTTCTGTTTTTGGGGTTTGTCTGGACGGCTGAAAACAAGGCCGTAATCCGACGTTTCCGGAGGAATCATCCATCGCTGTCCCTCGCTGCAATTTTGGGCTCCAGCTACCTTCTTCTGTCTGTTTTTGGAGGGGTAGCTGTTTTCCTCTTTGGCATTGCCTTCCCTATTTTAAGTTAGTATTCTTTGTTGCCTCATAAGCCTTTTTTTGTCTGTGTCAGTATCTCATTAGATCATTGAATATTTTCACTTGTTTCTGTGCTGTTAATACTTTGCATAAATAATGAAATGATAGCTTGATCGGCTGTAGTCCTCTCTGACTTTTTCCTCCTCGCAGTGATCCTTATCCATGCTTCAGTGAGACTCCGAAACCTTAAGAATAAACTGGAGAATAAGTTGGAGAGTATAGGATTGAAGAGGACTCCTATGGGCCTGCTGCTGGAAGCACTGGGACAGGAACAAGAGGCTGGATCATAGCTGTGTTTACTATTACCTAACTGTGCTATCGCTCACCCCTTCTATCCTAGGAGCTTCTCGCGTATCCTAAAATGTATATGAAAACAGATATTGGCAAATCATGTATGGCATATTGCTAAAGTCTCTCAGAAATGCAGGAAGGGCCAAGTGGGCTGGATTAAATTATGATGCAGTATATGAAGGATTGCTAAAATTAAAGCAAAAAGTGGAATTACAGGATCAGGTGTGTATAACTATTAAGTGTCCAAATATAAAAACAGCAATATAATGCCTTGTAAATAGGATGTAGGTTAGTGTTATTCATTGCACATTTTACATGTGAGTAACAGTCCATTATTGCTCCATTCTATGGATTTAATTGTGCATACACTTTTATTCCATCCCTTAATGTATTTTATGTGAGGAACGCTCGATTTTGTGAATTGTGTTTGAAGGATATCTGAAGACGGTGTCTTTTTTGCCTGTTCGTTACATGACCAAATATTATTTTTACTGATTGATTTTTATTTCGTGTTATTTTATTTTCAACCAAGTTGTGCCATGCCATAAGTTGTGTTTGCTCTCTTACAAAGTGCCAAGGTAAATACTTCTCAGTTATTGCAACACAAATTATTGACCAAGAAAATTAATCATGTTTCCATTCATGTGGATTGTGCATCACAAATTGGCATTGTTGGGGAAATGAACTGTAGTCATAGACATAATAATCTAATAAACAGGGGTTACAGAAGGTGTAACAGACCACAGGCTGATTACAATGTCTGAGAAATGTAACACCACATATGCTCATTCTTACTTTATTTGAGTCATTTGGTTTAAGCCATTGCTTAAGTGTTCATTCCTTCAAAAAATGAAGTAATTTGTATTTCCTGCATATTCAATGTTTACAACGTCAGCTGCCTTCTTGTATTTTCAGGAAATGCTCGTCCAGTGCAGTCAGTGGTTATAATAAATAAACGTTCATATATCTGCAGCCTTTGTCTTTTCGTCTGGTACCTACAGTGGCGCTGTGATCGTTAAAATTAATTTATACTATAGGAATGTGACTAGAGTTTCGTTTCATGTTTTGATCTGAGGAAAAGACAAACGGAACAAGTAGTTTACTGAAAAAAAACTGTAAACATATTTGGTTAACATGCTTCAAAGCGTCCAGAGTTTTCCTCGTGTCTCCACCTCCTTTTGAGAGGGTTCAGGGCAATCATCCCCGTTAACCGGCTCACATCAGTTAATCCTGAATTCACGGCTTACTACAGATCTGCGTTCACACGAGGATAGATTATACAGTCGTTTTCCATAATGAGTGCTACACATAGAACAATCCACGTGTTTTTATTCGCATAAATATATTTAAGAAAAAAAAATTTTGGTCTTTGGAGTGTGTTTTGAGTGCGGCGCGCGTGAGCTGTTTTACCTGTTTGCTCGCGACGCGGCTCAGCCCGATTGATACAGTTAATAGATATGAAAGCTGTTGTAAGTTATTGTTTCATGTGAGTTCGTGTGAGTAAGCAGCAGACGGTGCTGAAGAAGTTGTGGACATGGATGCGGTACCGAAAGGTGAGTGATATAACTACACCTGCACTGGAAACACTGTCAGTACAGTAGGCAGGCATAACGCAGAACAACTAAAATAATAAACAGGTTATTGACAAATTACATTTTAAAGTTACAATATAGAAGATAGCCCATAAATATTTTAGGTGCGGTAACAATTCCTTCAAATTTTTAATTACATGTTTGCATTGGCAGTTCACACCCTGACATTTCTTGCAATAGATAGATAGATGTTTTAATAAACCCCTTGTAGCAATTGTAGTGTAATGTGTTGTGTTCGTAATGGGCGTTGTGTTCTTGGAGTATCAAATACTAGCTGTTCTTTTCTCTTAGAACTAGGTCACTTAGTTCTGCCCGATCCCTTATAAGGCTTCTTAAGTGTACTTTAGTAGGCTATCTGTTGGCCACATCTGCCGTCTTTCTTTACTTAACATTTTTATAAGGTTCTGCTGAATAGTGAATGCAAAATTTAAGACTCATATGTATGATTAACTAGTATGCAGTGTAGCTTGACTTATATGTCATTGTTTTTGAAGAGGCTGCCAGAACACTATTTTCAATGCATAATGGTTATTAAATATCATAGGCTCTGAACGTTGGAAACCGATCACATAGGCCTAAATCTCACTGGATGCAATCTTATATTGTTGCCTCTATAGTTTAGCTTGAACACTTATTTTTGGTGTCACTTTTGTGTTTTGAGATGTGAGTTGATGTGATTACAGAGTTGACCCCAAAAAAATTTAACTAACCCTAACCTAACCCTAACACAAAGGAAAATATTTTAATAATGTGCTGGTGCTGGTTTGTTGCTTGTCAGTTTTGTCACACTTTAGTTTGGGGACCAATTCTCACTATTAACTAATTATTAACTACACCTTTTGCCACAATAAACTACTAATTTACTGCTTATTAATAGCTAGTAAGATGATTGTTATGGTAAGATGAAGTTTGGGTATGAGGTAGGATTTAGGATTCTAAAATATGGTCATGCAGAATGATGCATTAATATGATGCTTTATGAGTATTAAATAGCCAAAATGTGACCCTGGACCACAAAACCAGTCATAAGGGTCAATTTTTTACATCATCCGAAAGCTGAATAAATAAACTTTTCATTGATGTACTTACTGTATGGTTTGTTAGGACAGGACAATATTTGGCTGAGATACAACTATTTGAAAATCTGGAATCTGAGGGTGCAAAAAAATCTAAATACTGAGAAAATCGCCTTTAAAGTCGTCCAAATGAAGTTCTTAGCAATGCATATTACTAATCAAAAATTAAGTTTAGATATATTTACGGTAGGAAATTTACAAAATATCTTCATGGAACATGATCTTTACTTAATATCCTAATGATTTTTGGCATAAAAGAAAAGAGAACTGGTTCGTAAACCAAAGTGCTACTGTCAGCTCTCATTCACTTTCCTTTTCTTTTTTTTTTTTGTTCTACAGAAGAAAAAAATGATATATGTTTGGAGAGATTTTCTTTTTTGAGTGAACTTATCCTTTAATATTTAAATTAAATGGAGTTCATTTGTTGGAAACATAGTTTTAATAAAAAAAAACTTTATTTCAGATGGGGTCGATTTGGCTGACCCCAGCAAGACGGACACACTCAACTCAACAGGTTCTGCAGGGCAAAGGAGAGCTGGAGGAGCCAAGAAGCACACACAAGCTAACAAATCAGTCCTGCGTGCACCCAGAGCTCTGTGCTGTCTGACTCTCAGCAACCCTATACGCATGGCAGCACTGGCCCTGGTGGAGTGGAAATATCCTTTTGCCCAAGTGTGTGTATGTGCAAACCTTGTGCATTCTCTTGTATGTTTTCAAGACAGTTGTTTCCTTTACCTAAGACCTTTAAGCCTTTTGATATATTCATTCTACTGGCCATCTTTGCCAACTGTGTTGCCCTTGGTGTGTCCAAACCATTTCCTGAAGATGATTCCAATGCCACCAACCACAATCTGGTGAGTGTGCATTGCCAACATTACCATGATCTGCCACAGTGAGTGAAAACTGATCGCCTCAGCAAAAAATACATCAAACCACATAATATAACTTTGTGCTCCACCCAAGCACATTCAGCTACTGACATACAGTATATGTACACACACCGTACCTGATATATATCCTAAATAATCGATATCGAATCGAATTGAATCAAATTGGTAATCGAATCGAATCGCAAGCATGTGAATGAGAATCGAATCGAATCGTGAAATTTGTGTCAAAACCCAGCCCTACTATTTCTGTATATATTATTTTTATATACACTCTGTTTATATTTATAACACTTTACAATAGGGTTTCATGTGTTAATATTAGTTAACCTGAACTAACAACAATACTTCTACAGCATTTATTAATCTTAGTTCATTTAATACATATTTAGGATTAAAAAATATATCTGTTAACATTTGTTATTGCACTGTGAAATAACATGAAAATTAACATTTTTAATAGCCAATATTAGCAAAGGTTCATATTTTAATGCTGTGAAATGTATTGCTCATTGTTACTAATGTTAGCAAATGAGACCTTATTGTAAAGTATATGCGCTATATAAAAACCATAAATATCCAATATGGTCAATGTTGTATTGCCTAAACTCACTTGTAGCATTTAAAACAAGTTATTTTAGCTTTTACTCTTTTATTATTAATTTATTTTTAGACAAATTTTTTTATTACATAGTATACTATCTTTTTTATCCATTTCTTATTGTCTTATCGGGAATGACATGGAAAACACAGTTTTATGAATATGTATTGTTTGTACACAAATTCTGCCATTTGTGTATATTCTAACTTTTACACCAAGGCTTGAACTGTGACTAGTGACAGGACATTTTATTGAATACTTGGTTTCTACTATTGCAGTGTCTTGCTGGGTTAGTCGCACACATTTTGAAATCTCATTGGATTAAAACCTTGAGCCACATAACTGCATGTTATCCAGCGATTTCGTGTTTAGTCAGACTTTTCACGTTGCACCAGGTTAGGACACAGCGTTGTTATGGAAAGTACTCAAAGGTTTCTACATGAGCCCTGGCTGAACAACATGCCTGTAATAGATTTTTTTTAATGATCTACCTGTGAAACTGAGGGTATCCAATAAAAAGAAGGTTAGAGGGCTGCCCGTGTTCGGTTCAACACTATAATTGCATTAGGCTTGAAGTTTGACTGACAGCTCTGAATACCAAACAGGATAAGAGTATTGACCATCTGTTCTCTCACTATGGCCGCTCGCTCATTGCCCTTACATGTGATCTACTCTGTGACTGCAAATTTAATATAGACATTAATGATTCCAACAAATCGTAATGCTTGTTGCTTTTAGATTGCGTCCCTGCTTCTGTTTCTATTTTTTGTCTGTTGTTTTTTTCTCACACAACACCATCCGTCTGGATTTAAGTTACGCTCTATATAGAACTCTTTGCTCATATACTGACATTTCCAGATCAGCCGTGGTGTTGCACTGATGTCTGTTGAGTCAGTAGTGTCTGCAGCGTATGGATGATTAGCTGGAATAATGTGTGGGATACCTAGAGCACCTTAAGCCTTTAGCTTTAGCTTAGTACTGAGTGGGTCAAGAGGGCAGAAAGCTAATGAGCTCAGCAATGTGTGTTAAGGGAAAGCAGGTGAAAGGGAGAGTGACTGTAATATTGTGAAATATTATTACAATTTAAAATAACTGTTTTCAATTTGAATATATTGTAAAGTATAATTTATTCCTGTGCCGCAAAGCTGAATTTTCAGCATTATTACTCCAGTCTTAAGTGTCACATGATCCTTCATGTGATATATACACATGATATATACTGTATGTATGTATATGTATATATATATATATATATATATATATAATT